CCCAAAAATCACTCTCCCAGGCCAGGGGTTGCACCGACTAATCAACTAATGGACTGGTCGACTTCAATGCTCTGCCATGACGCTTTAAACTTGACGTCGATTAGTCGCTGGTCCTATAGAGGGCGCAACAGGATAAGAAAACTTTGCAGGAATTCCACATTTACGCTCTGTTTCCAAACAGTTCAAATGACAAATAAATGCATACTCTGAAAGCGCTCCTCAAGACGTGTGATTATATTACTGGATGCTGGAAATTGAACAGGAGAATGCACGTTTTAAACAGCTTATTGTACAGGCACGTTAATCGCCGTTCTAATCTAATGCGCTGCTGCACTGTAACACACACACACATAGGCTACAGACAGTAGCGCATACATCACGCGCAGATCGCGAGCACACAGATTCATTCAGTCCAGACATGTATTGTCAACACTGTTCTGTGATTTCTCAATAAAATAGCTTAGAAACTGAAAAGTTCAAGCATATATTTCTTAATAACTATATTCCACAGCTTCACTACTAGTAGAGAGACGCTGCCAGGTAGAATATTAATTCACACACGCAATCGCTCTCACTAATGCATTCATATGAATGTAATCTTTACTGTGCTGCTTTATCTGTATCTGATTTAGAATTAGCAGAAATCAGTGAGAAATATAACGACCCAAAGACAAAAGAACTGATAAAAATGAGCTGTTATAGGAGCTACAGCCATGTGGGCAGCGCTGTGTCATATGCCATAGCTGTGCACAAGCTGTTTATCACAGCTCCAGACTTATTTGTTCATTAATGACGTCATCAGCGACTAGTCGACTTCGACTCGACTTTCATCACATAAAAGTCGACTTTAAAAAATCAGAAGTCGTTCAACCCATAGGACACACTGTATAACTGATGACTGAACCCTCAAATCAACTGTTCTTCAGCCAATCCTCTAAAAAAGCAGATGTTTTGTATTGCTGTCACATGAAATATGCATGTTTACCATTGTTTTTAAACTCAAAACCTTTCCTATGCTCTGTTTCTGTTGAGCATGTTTCCTATGCTCTGTATGTCAAATGGCACTTAGTGTTCCAGTAGCCTAAAGCTAGGAACTCTTTAAGTTTTTTAACTCTTTCAGTAATCATCCAAAAAGGTCTATACACATGAAAAAAATGTGAGAAACCATTTGGCTCTTACTGATTTATGATTTTCTTTGGCCTGCTAAATAACTGCTAGACATTTAGCTATTTAATAGCTTTAACCGCTTATCAGTTGACATACATGCAGTAACCTTCACAACCACTTGAACTGTAATGGAGAATAAAATGATCTCAATATATAAACTGACATGAATCCTGTCTTGCTAATATGCTTTATGTGATTAGGCAACCTTTGGGAATTTAGATATTTGTTGCTGAACCTCAAAACTGTGGTTCAATAACAAGAGTTAGAGTGGATGTGTGTTAAACACACATCCACTCTAAAACACCCACAGCTATAAACCCAAGAGGTTAAAGCAGTTCTATTCATGCTACACCAGCTGTTCAAATGGACAGTTTACTGTACGCTAAGCCATGGACAAGGTGCTCTGACATTATAACTGCATAATCCAATCATGTACTTTGGAGGTATAGGTAGCACTATGCAAATAAATCCATGTGGTAAAAACACAGATGAGAAACATTAAGTGTTTTATTGTCTGTCACTACAGAAGCTTATAGATACAGATACAGATTATTTTAAAACCATCATTAGTCCTGACTATCAAAATGTTCATATAATTTCATAGAAAAAAATCTATTAACAAGTATATGTTCATATGCTGTTGCTACATCTGACAAGCCATGGTGCTCTCAAACTACACATCGTGTTCTCACGCATCGCAGAGCAAAGAGGACACTGACGCGCCGAAAGACAAGACATAGCAGGTTACTTTTGGTATGAAACAAAGACTCAACATTAAAATGTAGAATTTTTAAAAAGAAATTCAAACAATAAATACTGATTTGTGGCTCTTTAATTTGTCGTGACGGATTGCTGTAGCGTCTCAGTAGCATGTGAACCCATCATCTCTACTTCTTTATAGTTATAACATGAAATAAACATGAATGAACATCAGGGGGGTATTCCAGAAAGCAAGGTTAACTTACCTCATATACCCTGATCTCTTGGTTGATTAACCCAAACCTTGCTTACTTGAGGTTTGCTGGTTCCAAAAATGCATCTGGGAGTAAGTTCAGTCAACTCAGAGTATGTTCTTCTTCTGTTGTTCAATGGTCATTTACATACTTACTGCATATCGGCAACTAATTGATGGTTGTGCAATCATTTTTCAATTTTTTTGTCTTTTAATCTTTTAATCACTGAGAATAAGAATTATATTGTTTGTTTGATGCTATTTATATAATAAGAAATATCACATATGTATTTTTTTCTTATTATGGAAATACATTATATAAAATGCAGATCCATGATGTGTGAGATGACAATAAAATGTAATAAATATATTAGAATAAAATAAACATTACCTTGTTATAATAGAGTTTTATAATTAATATATATCGATAACTAGTATATATGACAATAAAATAAATAGTAAAACATATTAGAATAATATAATATTACCTTATATATATATTACTTATAATATTGCTTTATAATTAACATATCATTATATATAGTATTTTATAACTATATTGTAATCATATATAATATTGTGTGCAATCTGTCATTCCCACTGGAGACTCATCAATAGGTCACACATGCGCTGATAGCTCTGAAGTAAACTAACCCTGAAACAGAACATGCTCCGGAGCAGGTTATGTTCAGAGAATAAGTTGCTATGGCTACTTACATACCCTAAGAGTTACCTGCGTTTTTGGAACAGAAAGCTGAGTTTTTCCCGCTTACTAAACCTTAAACATACCCGGGTATTATACATAATTTGCTTTCTGGAATACCCCCCAGAAGCACGGAAAGATTTCAATACATATAATTTTTCAAGTTCAAGTCCACAGATGTTAATCTACTCTCCTGTCTGGTTTGTTTGTCGGACAAAATGGCAGATTCGGCATTATGATTGGTCAGATCGGCTGTCTATCAAGCTCCCGGCAAAGGGTCAATTGTTCATACAATTTGTTGACCTTTAAAAACTATTAAAATCTTGTCAAAAACATAAGTACTAAAGCAGTGAAATCTATGTATCTGAACAAGCATAATTTTCCAGTTCCATCACTTGCAGTTAAAAGCAGATTTTAAAAAAGAGTAAAAGTGGTCTAAAATCACTCTGACTGCAAGGAGAAAACCAAACTTTGCTCACCATTTACACTAGTCTACAATTTAGATTCTTCATAGAAGTTCTTCATGTCCTGCTTACAAATGGCTGCCTCAGCCATTTAATTAACCAAATTGCTCAAAACGGGTTTGATTATTTGTAGCTGAAAGAGTGTGTAACATTCACAATCAATGAGTTTATTGTCCTATCCAAAAAGAGAAGATTGATTTATATTTAGGGCTGCCATGGCTGATCTAAATCCTGCTTGATAATCACAGTAATTAGCCCATGAAATTAGCTACTGAAAAGTTAAGCTTAATGACACAGAGGTGCTCAGATGTCACGTTAACCAGTGCTCCATGTCTGACCTATCTGCTCGAGTGTTGAGAGAGTGTGAGAGTTTGGGTTGCTTTCTAATGGCACACACATGGCTAAGGTCAGGCTTGCGGTCTCAGTGAAATAAACACAGGAAAGCCTTTTTTTGATCACCCTTTTTTGGTTTACCTGAGCCCCATCATGTTAGCACATGACCTCCCACCCTGGAATCCCCCTGGCTGTAAAATGCTGAAAAGAAACATGACTGCATGGAAAGTTTGGGGGAGTTGTTCTGCAGGGACAAATATTTATTTGGTTTAAAGCATATTTGTTAAACATTTCTGTTATACACAAATAGTGTTGCTATGCGTGGATGACATATCTTAAGTTTACTAATAGTTGAAATGTAAAATTGATTATAATACATGAATTTTTTTTTCTTTTGGTTACATTTTTAAAATACATCTGTGTGGAACATGTAGTACTTCCAAAAAACAGTAAAATGAGAAGAATGATAAATTAACAACAAAATCAGCAATTTTTGAGATTGGCTGCCTTGCACTGAACAAACTTTTCACCACTACCATGATTTTAACTGCAATTTCTTGCTATTATCTAAATAGCAGCACCAAGTTATGTGAATAGTCTGACACAGTATATTTATTGGGGGTTGGGTTAATATTATCTGCTCAGATTGGCCACTAAATGCATAAAAAGATGGAGTTCTGTCAATAGTGTTCACTGCTTAGTGATAAGATGTTATATGTTGTAAGCATAGAGCTAAATATAAAAAAGTAGTAATTTATTGTATATACAGTTTAAACATTTGGGGGTCTGTATGATTTTTTTATGTTTTTAATGGGCGCATTTAAACTGGAGCGGAGGGAGTTACTATGGAAACGGGGCGTCAACTCACTCAGCTGACAAGTAGCGAGACGTCCATCTCTCTGCTGTTTTCACTGCTTTCAGGTAAGTTTAGTCACTAAAAATTACACAAATAATACATGCAACCGTTCCTGACACTTTCTTACATGTAATTGACACGTTTCTGTTGAATCTTTACTTTACAGGAATGGTTTAGTGTCTTCAAAAAACCGTTAGCATCACAACCGTTAACTAGCTATAGAGGCTAACTATTAGAGGTAAGCTAACTATAGATTTGAGCTCTTATTAATGAAAGTTTGAGCTTTTAATCACATTTTGTGTGTAGATGAGCAGTTTTGATAATTTGTAAATGTTTTGCTGGTACTTTGCCAATAGATAAATGGAAGTAACTATAAGCTAATTAATTTAACCTAAAAGTCTGCACTATGAGGTCAATCGGTGACGTCACTTACATGAACTAATGAGCTGAAACGATTTAAAACACGTTTTGATCTTTCATTGCAAACAAATATTGATAAATTGTAGTGTGAATTCAGGAGCATCAGAAAAAAACCTAAAACGGGAAGTTACAAGAAAATTTGTAATGGGAGCTGCTGACAGAGATACAGGAAACACAGGTGATCTAAGAAATCTTATTAAATAACTTTATGCATTTTTCACAATATATTTAAACTATATCGTCATGCATCTGTAAAACCTAAAAATGTGAATTCTGGTATCTTAAAGGGGTCATATGATGCTATTTTAAAGATCATTATTTTGTGTATTTGGTGTAACAGAATATGTTGACATGCTTTAATGTTCAAAAAACATTATTTTTCAAATACTGTACATTATTGTAGGTCCTCTATGCCCCGCCTCTCTCAAACACGTCGTTTTCAACAAAGCCCCCTTCTTTGACAAGTGCAGTCTGCTCTGATTGGCCAGCTGACCCAGTGCATTGTGATTGGCCGAACACCACAAGCACGCGTCGGAAATGTAACGCCCTTACCATAATCGCAGCTTCAAGCTATCAAAGTAAATCTCAAGACAGTTAATAATGTTGTTAGTTTTACCATCAGTTCAAGCCGAAAGGGCAACCTCCGCAAAATGTGCATCACACATCTGAATATTTGGGTTGAAGTGTTCTGGAACAGTGTTGTAAATACAACTTAACCACTGATTTCTAGTCGTGTCCTCTTTTGGAAGACCAAACAAAGTAGTTTCACTTTCACAACGAAACACACAGCGTGTTCACGACATGGCGGCAGTAACAATACTACAGCGAGAATAAAAGTTACGCCTTCTTTCTTTGCTTGAACATTTGGGCGGCGTTATGCAAATCTTCCCACATAGTGAGGTAGATATGTGGGGGCGTGTTAGAACGAGCTGTTTTAGGTAGGCGTGGTTGACTCTTAACTTTTATAAAGAATATCTCTTTGGATTTGAGACTTTAGTCTTTGCAACTTTACAGATCTTCTTTATGCACCAAGAGCTTGTAACACTCCAAAGAGAAAGGAAAACTTGAAATCGCATCATATGACCCCTTTAAGACTTCTTTGTATGTTTTTTTTTTCATATTGTTGGCTATGTGACATATTGCTTGACGTAGATATGTGGGGGCATGTTAGAACGAGCCGTTTTAGGTAAGCGTGGCTGACTTAACTTTTATAAAGCATATCTCTTTGGATTTGAGACTTTGGTCTTTGCAACTTTACAGATCTTCTTTATGCACCAAGAGCTTGTAACACTTTGTCATTAACAAAGAGAAAGGAAAACTTGAAATCGCATCATATGACCCCTTTAAGACTTCTTTGTATGTTTTTTTTTTCATATTGTTGGCTATGTGACATATTGCTCCTATATTCTTCCATGCTGATGGCCGTGCTGCAGAGCTGGAGCGGATCTCCTGTCGAAGAACATCTCCAAGGCACTATGAACCATCTGACTAGTAAGTAAAACCTCAAACATTCAAAAGTTGATCAAATATTAAAAAAATATATATCAAATAAATATCAAATATTTCCTGTATGTCCTACAAGACCATCTTGTTTAACTCTGCACTGAGGACACTTCATACACAACAACCTACAGAAGGGTCCATCATAATTCGAAAAAACACACAGATGATAATAAAAAAAGGTCTTTGAAATTAAAATTATTAACTGTAAGACAGAACCAGAGTACTGTGAGCGTACCTCACTTCAAACTGTAACGGTCTGTATGTATATTATTTTCTAAACTTTAGTGAACTGTTTGTTCAAGTAGACTTTGTTGCTTGTGGAAACCTCACGTGAGCCTGAAAGGTACTTAAAACGTAAAATCTTATTTTGCACTCTTGAAGACTGTTCACCAAAGACTAAATTTCAGTCCGGCAGAATTTTCTGCACACTTCACCACTGAGGCCAAAATGAGCATTGTGAATGTAAGAGCCTCACACTACATTGTTTGTTTGAATTGTATTTCAGGGCAGTTCGTGAAGACAGATAACCTGGACAGAAGTCAGTTCCAGATCCAGCCTCCACACCAGACTTCTCACTCTCAAGGATTGCTGTCTACTAGATATTATGTGTACTCTTCAGACTCAGGTGCATGCAGATATTATTCAGGGACATGAACACTTGAATATTGCAAACATATAGAAAGTACATTTTTTAAGAATTTTATGTTAATTGCGTAAACATAAAAAAAAGCATATATTTTTACTGTTTTTACCAAAGCACCTAAAAGCCAATTCACACTGCCATACTCCAACAGCGTGAACACACTGACCAAGCAAAACAAATAAGCATGTTAGGTGTGAGATTCATTCAACTTGGTTTGCTGATTAAACATGATTAAATATTTGTTCAGAATACTGTCGTTGTTGTGACTATTCATCTGGGAGGGGTGTGTATCAAGTGGCTTGGTTATGGTTTTGTTGCGGCTGACATGTGGAACCCGTCTGGTTCAGCGTATAGGGCCAGCTATGGTGATACAGGTGGCTGAGATATGGATCTGTCATGGCCCTTTTATGGCCCATTTGTGGCCCATATTTTGGCTGCCAGGTTTAGTTCACCTTTGGATCAGGCTCAGGTGTGGCTCAGTTTTGGGCTTTCTTTTTAAAGATTGGTGATCTGGTTTACTTAAGTTTGTGTTTTGGTTCCAATGTTACATTTTGATCTGGCCCAATTCAGGGCCAGTTATGGGTAATTAACTGGGCTGAGACTTGGGCCAGTTATGGCTCATGTGTGGCCCTTGTCTGGAACCCAGACCTGGTCCACACTAGGACCATAATTCATTGCGGTATGTGGGCCAAGCAAAAGCTGGTTGTGTGGGCCGGAGCTGGGCCAGAGGAAAATTACTATGTGGATCGCTGCTTTGTTTGCTGTGATGTGGGCGTTTGCATGCCACGCATCTCACGTGGACTATTGTAATATCAAAAGCGTGATCGGCTCGTGGGCGTGATCTAATTAGACATAATGAAGACAGACGGGCAAGACTTGACATCGCATTGGTTTCATACTGATTACTTTGTCACATAATATTTGTTTTTTACATGACTGACTTCTTTTAAAAGTAGACATGTCAAGCTTTCTATAGATATATCTCTCATGTATGTAAATCAAATATTCGCTGAGTTTCATTTCATTTTAGTGACGTGTTTCAAATAGATATGTGTGGAGAATGAGACGGCTAAAATCACACCTTGTTTATTTTCTTTATTTTACAAAAGCACAATGTTTTGTTGATGTTTTGAGTGTACACAAATAAAAGTAGACCCTTTACAGATTTAAATGTTGTATTACTCTTATATGTACGATCAAGTATGACGGAGCATTTAAAATTTTTCTTTTCGCTGTTATCATTAATATCTGCAAGTGGTGGCGCCGGCACCGCCGTCGACCCCAGGAGGTTAAACTGGCCTCCTGACATTCTGTTGACATTAATTCCCCACCTTAATCATGAATTTGACCTCATTGTTTAAGCTGGTAGCGCATCCTGATGGCCGCATTGAGCTTGTCAGGATGTGCTACCCCTGTATTAAGCTTTATTAAGGAACAGGCTACGAACGCAGCTGTGTCATGCAGCAGGCAGAGTCTGGCTGCTCACTAAAGCTAAGCAGGTCAGAGCCTGGTCAGTACACTGGTGGGAGACCGTTTGTGAAAATGTAGCTTGCTTCTGCAGCTAGTTTTATTCCAGCCAGCATGGGGTGATCATTCCCTGGCTTGAATGGGTACAAAAGTCCTAGTGAAATGACGTAGACTTTAGACTGTGAAAAGGAGCATCCTGCAGATGAGGCATTAAACTGGCCTCCTGACATTCTGTTGTCGTGAATTCCCCACCTCAGTTACGAATTTGACTTTGTTTGTTTTTTTGAAGCTGGTAACACATTCTGATGGCTGGTAGGCCGTTGTGAAAAACTTGCTTGCTGCTGGAGCTAGTTTTAGTCCAGCCAGCAGGGGGTGATCATTCCCTGACTTGTATGGGTGCAAAAGTCTTAGTATAACAAATCGGACTTCAGAATGTAAAACGAAGCAACCTTCTGATAAAGCGTTAGGCCGGCACCTGTAAAAAGGAGCGTCTTTCAGTTGGTCTCCTGAGATTCTGTTGTCATTAATTCCCCACCTTAATCATAAATTTGACCTCATTGTTTAAGCTGGTAGCGCATCCTGATGGCCGCATAGAGCTTGTCAGGATGCGCTACCCCTCTATTAGAGGAGCATTATTAAAGCACAAGCTACGAACGCAGGTGTGGCATGCAGTAGGTAGAGTCTGGTTCCTCACTAAAGCTAAGCAGGCCAGAGCCTGGTCAGTATACTGGTGGGAGACCATTTGTGAAAACCTTTGGGTTACGAGTCCGACTCTCTAAACATTAGGCCACAACTTCCCTTTTCACGATGAGGGTCGACTGGAAAAAGAGCCAACTCTCCACGGTGCAGAGGATCTCTTTTCTCGGCATGGAGCCGGACTCAGTCAACCTCTCAACACGTCTCTCAGTAGAACACAGTCGAACTGCCTGGGGTCCTTCCAGTGCAAGACGGCGGATCCACTGAAACAGTTTCAGAGGCTCCTGGGGCATATGGCATCCGCAGCGGCTGTCACGCCGCTCGGGTTGCTTCATATGAGACTGCTTCAGCGTTGGCTTCACGACCGGGTCCCGAGATGGGCATGGCACGGCACTTACCGGGTTTCTGTCACCCCATTCTGCCGTGCTTTGGGGATGCTCAGGTAGACCTGTTTGCCTTCCCAGACACGTCCCATTGCCAGTTGTTTTACTCCCTGGCGGACGCACTAAAGTGCAGCTGGCCTCTGCGCCTTCGCAAATATGCGTTTCCCCCAGTGAGCCTTCTCGCACAGACACTGTGCAAGGTCAAGGAGGACGAGGAGCGGGCTCTCCTGGTAGCACCATACTGGCCCACTCAGACTTGGTTCCCCGAACTGATGCTCCTCGCGACAGCCCCTCCTTGGCAAATTCCTCTGAGGAGGGATCTCCTTTCTCAGAGAGGGGGCACCCTCTGGCACCCGCGTCTGGACTTGTGGAATCTCCACTTATGGTCCCTGGACGGGACGCGGAAGTTCTAGGTGGACTACCTCCAGAGGTAGTAAACACCATCACTTCAGCTAGAGCCCCGTCTACCAGACACGCTTACAGGGTGAAGTGGAACCTGTTCGTCGATTGGTGCTCTTCCCGCCGGCAAGATCCCCGTAGATGCCCAATCGGAGTCGTGCTTTCTTTCCTGCAGGATGGGTTGGAGCGAAGACTGTCTCCCTCCATACTTAAAGTGTATGTTGCCACCATTGCCGCGCATCACGAGGCAGTAGACGGTAAGTCTTTGGGGAAGCACAACTTGGTCATCAGGTTTCTCAGAAGGGCAAGGAGGTTAAATCCTCCATGCCCACACCTGTTACCCTCTTGGGATCTCCCCTCGGTCCTGACAGCCTTGAAGGAGGACCCCTTCGAGCCTCTGCAGTCAGTAGAGCTTAAAGTTCTGTTGTTAAAGAGAGCGCTCCTCACCGCATTGGCCTCGGTCAAGAGGGTAGGGGACCTGCAGGCATTTTCGGTCGACGATTCGTGCCTAGAATTCGGAACGGGTAATTCTCACGATGTCCTGAGACCCCGGCCTGGATATGTGCCCAAAGTTCCCACCACACCTTTCAGGGATCAGGTGGTGAAGGCAGACCCAGCCATCGCTCTGCTCTGTCCCGTTCGCGCTCTGCGCATTTGCGTGGACCGTACGCAGAGCTTCAGGACCTCAGACCAGCTCTTTGTCTGCTTTGGAGGTCAGCAGAAGGGAAAGGCTGTCTCCAAACAAAGACTTGCCCACTGGTTAGTGAAGGCTATATTCTTGGCATACCAGGCCCAACATTTACAATGCCCCCTCAGAGTGAGAGCTCACTCTACGAGAGGAGTGGCATCTTCTTGGCCATTGGCGCGGGCAGCCTCGATAGCAGACATCTGTAGAGCTGCCGGCTGGGCGAACACGTTTGCGAGATTCTATAATCTCCGTGTAGAGCCCGTGTCCTCTTGTGTACTCGCCTCAGGTAGGCAGTAACACCGGACCCACTCGGTGTCGATCACGCTTGCTGCGCCATTCCCCTCTACGGACCGGATACGTGCGCTTTGTTGCTTCTCAGTTCAGTTCCCCATGGCGAACCCTGTTGGAGTTCCTCCCGCACCCTTGGCAGTCAGGCGTGGCGGAGCACCAGATGCCAGGTTCAGCACTTGTGTGCATGCCCAAGGTCAGCCCTTGTGCTGGGCTAGGTGCCCGTGTGTAGTGATTCCCCCTTCGGGTGATCCCACATGTGTATTCTTCCACGGTACGGCTCCCCTCACGGTAAGCCCGTGTCTTTCCCTGGCAGTCGTTCACTGCCATCTCTGCTGCATAGTCATCTCACCCCAGGCGGGTCTACCGCAGGGACTTCCATATGTAGTACTGCCCTGGGCCAGTCCATATGTGTAATTCCACATGATACCTCCTATGTGCGGGATGTGGCTTCCGTAGCGTCCCAACTGAGTACGCTTTCCCAGTGTTATCCAATGTACCACTGTAGGGAACAGCAGTGCGGACACCTCTGCCTAGCCGCTGTCCTCTCTTCCGCCCCAGCTAGTGTGGGGGGACTTGCCGGCTTCCGCAGGACACTGGAGGGGGTCAGCAATAGTGGCGTTTTCCATACGGATCCCAATTCGTCAGTTACGACTGACATAACGTAGAACGTGACTGACTGAAAAGGAACGTCTCGGTTACTTGTGTAACCCTCGTTCCCTGAAGGAGGGAACGGAGACGTTACGTCCCATCGCCACAGTTGCTGTACCACCGCTGTACGGCCGGGGCACGTAGTCTCAGCTCCTCAGCGAAAAACTGATGTGCGTTTGCACGTGCTCTCCTTTTATACCCGCGCTGGGGGACGGGGTGCGCGTGGCGAAACACGCACGCCAACTGTCATTGGCTTGTTTAGTTAACACTCAAAGGTGATTGGGCTCTCGGGCGAGATCCCAATTCCAATTCGTCAGTCACGACTGACGTAACGTCTCCGATCCCTCCTTCAGGGAATGAG